CCGGAATAAACCCACGAAGTCGGCTACCAAAAAAGTTCGAAAATCTGCCCAATTTGGGTACCTGACTTCGTGGGTTTATTCCGGCCGAATCACTTGAAGTTTTGGGGAGATTTTTGGTGGTAATTGAAGAGGACATTATGGGCTTTCCAACAGTATTCGAAATCAACGGTTTTGGTGGTCGGAAGTGGTCGAAAAATTGCCTCAAACTTGTCCAAAAAATCTGAAAATCTGGGCAGATTTTCACAATTTTCTATTACCGACTTCGTGGTTTTATTCCGGCCGAATCACTTGGAGTTTTGGGGAGATTTTTGGTGTTAGTTGAAGAGGACATTGTGGGCTTTCCAACGGTATCCGAAATCGGCGATTTTGGTGGTCGGAAGTTGCCAAAAATTTGCCTCAAATTTGGCAAAAAAATCTAAAAATTTAGTGACCGTTTTGAAAGAAATTTCAAACTTCAGTGACCGTTTCTGAAACTTTGAAATTTTAGTGACCGTTTTGAAATTTTCAAGTAATTTCAGTGACCATTTGTGAAATTAACCCAAATGAAAATTGCTCTCTGAAAAAAATCATTCATTGAATGAGGATAATGTGGTCCCTTCCCCAAGAATTAATTGGTTTGCTGAGAAGTTGAAATCTACTTGATTTTGAAATGAAAGGCAGCAAAATAACATTGATGTGATACATGTTGGATGGACAACTCGAGAACTGATGTACGCATGCTGTGGGTTTGATTCAACATTTGACAGCATCCAGTCCCTCCCCATATTTTCAAGAATATATTTCTTTAAAAGAGTAATTAGAACGTAACGTCCCCAATTTTTACGATTATTATGGAAAACGTTCATATCTTTCATTTTTTGGCATTTTCACTCTTATTTCCATCTTTTATTGAGCAAAATGTCCTTTTTATCCATTTTATCAATTAAAATTTGTGAAATGACGAAAATAGACTACCCATTTAAATAAAACAAAAGGAAAAAAGGCAAAAAAAAACTAATTGAAAACGTAGTCCCAACTTTTTTGAAAAGCGCAAATGAATCCCAAATAAATTATTAAAATAGTAATTAGCACATAATGCCACTACCTTTCACTATTATTGCAAATAACGTCACTACCTTTTAATTTTTTTGGCATTTTTTCCCTTAATTATAATTTGATATCGTAAACCATCATTTCTATATATTTTCATCCAATTTTTCAATAAAAAACAGTGGGATGACAAATATTTCCTCCTATTTAATTAAAAAGTTAAAAAATTAATTGCAACAATAGTCCCTTTTTTAAAAAAGTGCAAATGAGTCCCCAAAAAAATTATTTAAAAAATTTAATTTTTTAATGAAAAGTGCAAACGAGTCCCAACTAAATTTATTTAAAAATTAAAAAAAAACTAAAAAGTGCAAAGGAGTCCCAAATAAATTATTAAAGAATTAGAAATTAAAAAAATATATTTTTTATTTAAATATGAGGGTATATTCATTATTTCACAATTCTTTATTAAGAAATTGTATGGAAATATATAGAAATGATGGTTTGCACAATCAAATGGGTAATTAAAGGGGAAAATATAAAAAAGAAAAAATTTGGTGACAATTTCGCAATAAAGGTAAAAGATATGGATATTATGTACTAATTACCATTTTAATAATTTATTTGAGACTCATTTGCCTTTTTCAAAAAAATTGGAACTATGATTGCAATTAGTTTTTTTCTTTTTTCTTTTGTTTTATTTAAAGGAAATGGTAATTTCGTTATTTCACAGTTTTTAATTGAGAAAATTGATAAAAATGACTTTTTGCGTAATGAAATGTGAAAATAATGGTGAAAATATCAAAAAATGAAAGGTAAAGACGTTATGTGCTAATTACCTTTTTTTAAACATATTTTAACCCCACATTCTTTCATAAAACAATTATATACATATTTAGGGTCTGTTTGTTTTTGATTCTCAAATTCTACAATAAATCAATTCTCATTTTCAACCACACATTCTTCAATAAAATAATATTTTTCATCACATCAATAAATTTTTCTTCTTATTCAACCACATATTTTCCATCATATCACTATTCAAAAATCAATTATTCCCCCAAAAATCCCTACCAAACAAGCACTTAAAAAAATTTACTTATGTTTTAATCATACATTCTTCAAAAAACCATTATTCCATAATACATTTAACCCCAAAAATGAGAATCAAATTGGGCAAGAAAATTTTAGATTTTTTTCCTTTTTATTTTCAATATTGTTCTATTAAGATTTAGTCATTGTTTGACTTCCATTGTTTTAAAATTCTTTTTCTACATAATCATTTTCAATCACACATTTACATAATAAAACATTATGTAAATATGTCCAAATTTTTTGTATGATTTTTAATCACGTATTCTTCTAAAAACAAAATTCAAAACATTGTTTTGGCCACGTAATGGCCATCAAACATGGGTTTAATCATTCTTATCTATCATATCATTTTAGGCCTCTATTTGACATAGATTTATTTAGAATAAAATTTTGTGAAAAATATTTTTTCAGAGAACATATGGTTAAAAAAAGAAAAAAAAAATTAATAATTCTGTATAAAATTATTTTACTGACAAAATATATTATTGAAAATGAGAGTGATGATAAATGAATTTTTAGAAAATGAGGGACAAATATGGACTATGTTACTTACTTGTCAATGTTAAAATCTACCCTTACATGGAAAAACTAGTTTTTCCATGTTTAATTCGTAGTACTCGATAGAATTGAAAAAAAAAAGTAAAATAAAAATAAAAAAATTAATTTTTTTTTCTTTGCTGACGTTATATCTAGTAAGATTTAGGGCGTGTTCGATCGTTATATGTTGATTTATATTTTTATCTTTATTCGATATGAGGTTTATTCCTCAACATTACTTATTTTAATAAATACGTCATTATGATTAAAAAAAAGCTCATATTTGAGGCCATTTTTTAAAATTCATTTTTTTCAAAATTTATTTAATTGAATATTTTAAATAAAATAATATACAACTAAATTTAAATTTCTTTACATTTTAATCACAGATTTAAAAAAAAAAATTACATTTTATCAAATCTGCAAAAAATGGGACATGGACTAAATTTTCTGAGAGCTAATCAATCCCAGAAAAGTATAAGAATTTACATCCCAAATAGAGCGAGAAGTAAAGGCTTTTAAGTTGAGTTATGCTATATGTACAAATTAGGTCGACAAATTTGATTTATAAATTATGTGTTGTCAACATTTAGGTCAATCATTTCAAAAATAGTTTTTGAAATCAATAGAAATCATTGATTTAAATTTTGTCAACACTTAGAGCTTGTTTGGGTCCCATTTTATTGTTATAATACATTTTTGAATAGTAGATTGATATAGAATGTATGGTTAAAAATAAGATTTTTTTAGGTTTACGTACAATATTATTTTATTAAAAAATGTGTCATCGAAAATATAAGAGAAAAATATATTTTGAGAATAATGAAAATCAAATAAGGGCATAGTTTGTAAACAAAGTTGGCACAACTAAATTAAGAGGAAATTATACCTAGAAAGGTTTTTAAATTTCCATTTTCGTAAATAAGGAATCAAGTTTAATTATACAGAAATCAGGTTTAATTGATAATTAATATAAATTAATAATTAATAATAATAAATATCAATCTATACA